GCCACGAGACAACGCTTGAGTTATGCCAGAGTCTTGTTAGAAGTGAAACTCCCTTTAACTGACCCTCTACCTGATCAAATTCAAATTCAGGGCCCTAATGGTATTAGCTACCACCAAAAGGTCTTATATGAGTTTAAGCCTAGATGGTGTTCTCTATGCAAAAATGTAGGGCATGAAACTCATCAGTGTAGGAGAAACACTACAAAGAAGATTTGGGTGATGAAAAAGCCTGTTGCTAACCAAGGTGATAAACAGGAAGTTAATGAGGTATGTTCTAGTCAGAGCCAAAAATCTGACGCTGAAATTTCTCTGGCGGTTAGTGATATCCTGGAAGTGAGTAAACAAGCTCAACAGTGGGAGCATATGCAAGGTGTTGCTGGTTTACAACATGACACATATGAAGCTGAAAAAGGGAAAGTAGCTGAGGTTTCTCTGGCTGATATCCTGGAAGTAAGAAAACATGCACAGATAGGGAAACATGCACAAGTTACACATATTTCTGGAGAAAATGTTTTTGATTCCTTACAACATGCATATGAAGCTGGGAAGGTGAAGGACAAGGGTCATATGCAACAGGTGCCTGGGGGGCTTGCTACTCTCTTTGCTGGCAAACAGAAAATTGGGTTTACTAGTGTATCTGGTTCTCGTACTGCAAAAAGAGCCTTTATCAATAACTCTGATACACCTATTCAATCCTCACACTTCTCTATTTTAGATTATCAGATTTGTGAATTGGATCCCTCCAATACTGATAAAGGAGGGGAAGGAGGGTTAACTCAATAAATGCATTTAGCAATTTGGAATATTAGAGGGTTTAACAAACCCTCTAAACATGGGATAGTTAAAAAATTTATCCAGGATCATAATATCTCTTTTTTGGCTCTGTTAGAAACCAAATTGGCTGGGGATGGTAAAATTCAGACTATTGGAAATAAGATTGCCAAAGATTGGAAGTGGATAGCTAATACAAATATGACAAGAACTGCCAGGATATGGATTTTATGGGACAATGAGATTATCTCTACACAAGTCATTAAAATCTCTGAGCAATATTTGACCTGTGAGATTAAGTCTAAAGATGGGAAATTATTTTGCTTGTTTACTGCAGTTTATGCCCTTAATCACATTGAGGGTAGGAAAGTTTTATGGGAAGAATTATTGGACTTTAAGAGTAATGTTGAGATCCCCTGGGTTGTGGGTGGTGATTTCAATGCTATTATTAATGGTCAAGAGAAAGCTGGAGGTGCTCAAGTTACTGATGCTGAGACTCAAGATTTTTAGAATTTTATTGCCTCTAGCCAACTGCTGCATATCAAAACTACTGGTCTCTTTTTTACCTGGAGTAACAAACAGGAGTCTTCTTCTAGAGTCTAGAGTAGACTAGACAGAATTCTGGTCAATGAGGATTGGATTAATAAGTACACTGCCAGTCAAGTTGAATTTTTGATTCCCCTTTGCTCTGATCACTCTCCAGGTCTTATAACTGTGGGTGATAACAATGTTGAGGGAAAGAAGACATTTAAATTCTTTAACATGTTGACTAAGCATCCTGATTTTTTGTCTTTGGTTAATTCAGTATGGAATCAGGAGATCATGGGCTATAACATGTTCAGGTTTTGTTCTAAACTCAAGAAGCTTAAACCTGCTCTCAAGGAACTTAATCAATCTCATTTTATGCATATCAGTCAACAAGTTCTAAGAGCTAAATCTGAGCTATGTGATATCCAATTGAGGCTCAGTGCAAATTTGTTTAATTCTGACCTGATATTAAAGGAGAAGGAATGTGTCAAGAAGTACACTAAGTTGATTGATTGTGAAAGCTCCTTCTACAGTCAAAAAGCTAACATAAATTGGAGATTGCATGCTGATAAGAGCACTCATTTCTTCCACTCAGTTATGAATGCTAAAAGGCACAAAAACAGGATTTTATCTTTGCACACTGAAGCTGGTGCTAGAATTTCTGATACTCCTGATATTATATCAGAATTTGTTCATTACTATAAGGATTTGTTGGGGACTGCTAGGCCTTCTTCTCCTCCTGATCCTGCAGTGATCTTAAAGGGCCCTATCTTAACTTCAGACCAGTGTAGTGACCTTTGTTCTCCTGTTACCAGGGATGAGATTAAGCATGCATTATTCTCAATGTCTGACACTAAAGCTCCTGGCCCTGATGGTTACAATGCCTCTTTTTTCAAGGCTGCTTGGAGTATTATAAATGAGGACTTATTCCTTGCTATTGAGGAGTTTTTCCACTCAGGTAAGCTGTTAGGCACTCTTAACACAACAGCTATTACATTGGTTCCAAAGATTCAAAATCCCAGCTCTACATATGAATTTAGGCCCATCTCATGCTGCAATGTTACATATAAAATTATCACAAAGATAATTGCAAACAGGGTCAAAAAACTCCTGGGATACCTTGTTAATGAAGCACAAAGTGCTTTTGTGAAGGGGAGACTTATTTCCAGTAACTTTTTATTAGCTCATGATTTAATCAAGCACTATGGGAGGAAGCATAATTCTCCAAGAGCTATATTAAACATTGACTTGAAAAAGGCTTTTGATACAATTAGTTGGGAGTTTATCAAGGCTATGCTTACTGGCCTGGGATTTCCTAGCATTATGATCAATTGGATCATGGAGTGTATAACTACACCAAAATTCTCAATAGCAATTAATGGAGGATTGCATGGCTATTTTCAGGGGGCTAGGGGTTTAAGGCAAGGGGATCCCCTCTCCCCTTACCTATTTGTCATTGGTATGGAGTATTTGTCAAGGAGACTAATTGCTTTGAAGGATGATAGGCTGTTTAAATTTCATCCGAAATGTTCTAAACTAAAAATTACGCATCTGATGTTTGCGGATGATTTGCTTTTATTTAGCAAAGCTGATTTATGCTCAGTTACCAAAATCTATCAATGCTTTCAAGATTTTAGTCTGGTTTCTGGACTGTATGCAAACTTTAGTAAGTGCTCTGTTTATCTAACTGGGATTGAGGAGGGCATTAAGTCTCAGATTTGCAATTACCTGAATTTTTCAGAGGGTGTCCTGCCTATGAAGTATCTTGGTTTACCTCTGAATACAAAGAGACTATCCTATGTTGATTGTTCTTCATTGATTGGGAAAATCCAAGACAAGTTTCAGTTTTGGCAGCAGAAAAGAAAACTGTCATACACAGGTAGACTTCAGCGGATCCATGAGAACTATCTACAAACCTGTAATCTTTGGGAGGCTCAAAGTAGAGTGAATGACTCTTGGATGTGGAAGCAACTCCTCAGGGTGAGAGACATGCTGTTGAATAAGTTTGGAAGCTTTGCATCTCTGAAAAATGCAATTGATGACTGCTGTTGCAATGATAAAATCCAGCAATCTGCAGTTTACAGCAAACTGGCACATTCAGCTGCAACTCCAGTGAGCTGGTATGAGACTGTTTGGGACAATTTTAACTTTCCTAAACACTCATTTACTATCTGGTTAGCTTGCAATTCAAGACTTCTTACCAAGGATAGGCTGTGCAGACTGGGGATTTTAAATCCTAATCAAAACTGTTGTGTTCTGTGTTCTAGTCATCAGCTAGAAACAATTAGCCTTCTGTTTTTTGATTGTCAGTTTTCTGCGGGAATATGGAATGGAGTTATAGATTGGTTGAATTTTAAATGGAGGTCTTGTGATTGGAACATGATCATTGGTTGGTATTCTAACAATTTAAAAGGAAAGGGTTCCAAGAAGAAGTTAAAGAGGCTTGCACTCGCTGACACAACTTATATGATTTGGCAGGAACGCAACTTGAGGATTTTCTAGAGCAAAATGAGGAGCTTGCTGCAGGTTCTTCATAATATCAAACTGTCAATTTATACAAAAGTGTTACATGAGAGTACAAATGTTCATGCAGGTTCTTCATAATATCAAACTGTCAATTTATACAAAAGTGTTACATGAGAGTACAAATGTTCATATGAGGAATCTCATTTTGTAGTTTGTTCTTTTTGATTACCAGAGAATGTCTGGTTTTTGATATGTTACATAATGTCCATATTGGAAATGAATAAAATTCAGTTCATTTACCAAAAAAAAAAAAAAAAATCTCACACCCTTGGGATCTTCATGTACGTTCTTTGCTATAGCTCCACCTTTTTTTAGGGCTTTTTGTTATCTTGGTCTTGCTTGATTTTTTTAATAAAATTTTACCTATGGCTGTACAGTGAATGTCTATGCAGGTTTAGATGACTCGCCTTAGGAGGGCAATGTGTCCTTTCCTATGGACACACGTGTTAACTGTAATTTTTTTATTTGGATGAGAGTTATTGTCACACCGACTTTGTATAATGGTTAATAAGCGTCCACCTTGCACGTTATCATTGATACTTAAACTACACAACTTCTTAATAAAACAAATGAGATAAACCTTAATTTCAATATCAGATAATTAGTAGTAATAGTAATAATTGTTGTTAATATAAATGAAATGAATGTAGACATTACTAGAAGAAGTCTCTTCACCTACTTGTGACTTTTAGTATTCTCTTCCACATCTATATAATGTAAGCTATGGAAGACAAAATGTATGGAGAAATGAAGATGAATAAATTGAGATGATCACTTTCTCCCTATCTTTTCTCTTCTCTATTTATTTACTCTTACATTTCATATTCGATTCTTACTTATGATATGTAATGTATGTAGATATAACAACAAGATTACAACATATTATCAACACGAGTGGCTCTAGCCGGTTCTGTTGAAGAATGATTCAAAGTTGACTTAGTCTTTAGTTGTTATTTTGTTAGTGGAGTAGTGGCTAATAAATATGAAATTAGTTTAGATTTTTATGGTGATTAAGTTGTTTTGTAAGCCTATATAAAGGCACTTTTAGTTGATGAATTATATAGAAAAATATTATCTCCTCATCTCCTCTCTAATTTCCAACATGGTATCAGAGCTCCAGTTTTCTTGGGTTTGTGAGGATTTAAAAAAAATAGAGTGATCAACCTTTGTTTTTAATGGCATCCAATAATTTTTCGCTTCCATACCCCATCCTCAATGAAGACAATTATCAATCTTGGGCTATCAAGATGAAATCTCATTTGAAATCTTTGAGTTTATGGGAAGTTGTTGAGAGTGACTATGAGCCTACCCCTCTTCCACAAAATCCAACCCTAAAACAAATCAAGAAGCACGACGAAGAAAAAGCAAAGAAGCCAAAAGCCCTCTCTCGTATTCATTCGGCCGTGTCGGATGGAATCTTCACAAGTATAATGACTTGTGAATCACCTAAGGAGGCGTGGGAGATGCTAAAGGAAGAGTTCGAAGGCAACGATCAAACAAAATTGATGCAAGTTCTGAATCTTAAGAGGGAGTTTGAGATGCAAAAGATGAAGAAAGGTGAGACCATCAAAGAGTATGTCGGTAAGCTTATGGCTATTGTCAATCAAATTAGATTGCTTGGTGAAACATTTTCAAATGAAAGAGTGGTTGATAAGATTTTAGTGACTGTTCCCGAAAGGTATGAGTCCAAAATTTCCTCACTTGAAGATTCCAAAGACCTATCCAAAATAACTCTAGTGGATTTAGTCAATGCCCTTAGTGCCGTAGACCAAAGGATAGCAATGAGGAAGGAAGAAAATGGTGAAAAAATTGAAGAATCCTTTTTAGCCAAGACTTCATCTTCAAAAGGGAAAGGCAAATGCGTCCAATGCAACAATTGTAAGAAACTTGGTCATGAGGAGAAGGATTGTTGGCATAAAGGAAAACCTCAATGTCACAAATGCAAGAGATTTGGTCATATCCAAAAATATTGTCGATATAATGGTAAAGAACAAGCAAACATGGCACAAGCAGTTGTAGAAGAAATTTTATTCTAGGAATCATGGTGAGATGTGCGCCATGGAGAGATTGAGACAAGTGCTTGTGGAGAGAAGTGCTCCTTTAAGAAATGTTGGTGATTATGTGCGTCAACAAGATTGAGATGAGAAGTGCATCACAAAGTGAAGAGAAGTGCTTTACAAGATTATGGAGAGAAGTGCTCTATGAAGATTCAAAAGGAATTACAAGAAACTTTGAATCAAGGGGGAGTGTTGAAGAATGATTCAAAGTTGACTTTGTCTTTAGTTGTTATTTTGTTAGTGGAGTAGTGGCTAATAAATCTAAAATTAGTTTAGATTTTTATGGTGATTAAGTTGTTTTGTAAGCCTATATAAAGGCACTTTTAGTTGATGAATAATATAGCAAAAATTATCTTCTCATCTACTCTCTAATTTCCAACAGGTTCGTGATTATCGGTTTGTAGTAATAGATTTTTAGGTGTACATCTTCTGCAAGGTTAATACTTGCGGATTTCCACCTTTGGGGGACAGAGATGCATCGATTTCATTACTAATGAGACTTGATTTATTTGGTGGTGGAATATTGTCAACTGAAGAAACTATCACTTATGGATTCTTTGTCGAGAATACTGTCATTGTTACAGAAGGAGAGCTTCTTTCAAATGGCAATTTCCGAGTAAGGCATCAAACTTCTATTGCTCCATTGTCCGCTTATTATTTCATATTGCGAAGTTCCATGATGTGCTTGTTCGATCTATTTTATTTTTGAAATATATGTCATATCATATCGCATGACAACATCAATTTAATGAGATGGGAGCAGCGTGAGCCATCAATTCACTTGAGCATCTTATTATGTGGTTAAATAAGAATCCATGATAGGAAGTCCTCAGGGATGCATTTGTATGTGCACATGAGAACGCATGCACGTGTGTGCTGCATGTGCTGTGGCTGTTGTGTCTGATCCTACATACATATGGAGATACACTACTAATAGTGCATACGAGTTTGTTAGACCAACCTATCAAAAGAAAATCAGGTAATGGATGACCATTTCTGTTTGTCATGATCTATTATCTTGCATTCTATGATCATTGGTTGACTAACCTGTAATTCATGTATAGGGGAAAACTATTCTAACCATATGATATATGAGTAAGATGTTATTTGTAGTACTTAAATTTTCATTTTATGTGTTTAAAAAAAAAGGTATGTTCTTTGATCTGAACAAGTGAATTACTTAATTGTGATAACCAGGGTGGTTATCTCCCGAGAGTATAAGAACCGTTCTACTTCCTATGCATGCATATATGAGTTTTTGTATGTTTACAAAGTGTTCTATTTTTGTATAGTGGTAAGCAAATGGGTGTTTCACCACTAATCTTGGACTATAGAGTTTTGATTGAATTTGTATATGACTAATGAGTTTAAGTTCAACAATCAAAGATGATTTAGACCCTTGTTAGCTGTTAGCCTGCTTATAGACTAGTGCTATTACATTAAATGTGATGTTGAATTTTCCAAATGCTATCAATGCTTATAGACTAGTGCTATTGCATTAAATGTGATGTTGAATTTTTCAAATGCTATCAATGCAAGCAACGGTTAAATGATGTCAAATCTTTTATAAGTTTGAGATAGAGTCTCTCTTCTGGGTATACAAGTGTTAAAGAACATGTAAATATTTCTAATTTCTTATGCACTAATCTTTCGTCCCCATGATTAGTACCCTGTGATATATGATAGTAATTATTACTTGTCTTTGGTCTCGAACGTTCATTTTTACTGGACACCCTTGTGATTTTTGCATGATTATATCTCTTAATTCTTTAAGTATCTTTGCCCAGAAGGCAAACACTTTAAAATTTATCTTTATTAATTAAGAAGTGAAAAATTAATGTCTCACTGAAAAAGTATTCACTTTTCTAGGCAATCCCTGAAGGATCACTTTGATCTATGGAAGCTAATAATCTTCTTTCAAACGCAACTGGCAGACTGAATCAGAACTTTTTGGATTTTAAATACATGACTAAATATGATTCAACCATGTGCCATATTATCTAGCGGGTGAAGCTCGTAGAATTGATCAAAAAGATTTTTTTTCCCATTCCATGCAAGTAGTATTGTACTCCAGTAGCAGTACATGGCCAAAAATTATGCCAATCATTGTGCTTTGATATCTACATTTAGAGTTGTAGAGAATCACAACAAATTGTTGCTGAGAAATCATATTGTTAGACTAGTTGGCTTACGAGTTGTGTTTGGAGCACATGCTACAATTCAGAAAATTACGTATACGCGTGGACAAGGAGGAGGCTATGAACATAGTAGGAGATCTTATCTTGTAGCTATTTTTGGATTTTAAACTCTCGACTGAATACAATTCAACAAGTAACCTTGTACTCTTACAATAGTACAACTAAAAATTATATTAAACGTTATGAACTAATCCTTGTATTAGTAGTTGTTAAAAACACAACCAGCTGTTGTGAGAAACCATAATGCAAGTTTAATTGGTTCAGTCGTAGTGCCTGAAGCACATGTCATAATTCAAACTAATATTGTCGTAGTGCCTGAAGCACATGTCATAATTCAAACTAATATTCATAAGCTTGGACGAGGGGGAGGTAGTAGATCTTATCGACGTGGTCAAGGTAAACTATTTGGTTTTTTAATATTTGGATTATATGTATTTGTCAGACAATTTTAATTTATCTTGAGTTTGCTTTAAACTCTTGTGAACCTATGTGTTTTTTTATTCATATGTGTATACTTTAGAATTTGTCTGACCCAAAATACACATGTTGCGATGATTTTTGAGATTTAGGGATCCAAATTCTTTTAAATTCTGGCATGAGCTATTGGGTCATTTTGGGCAAAATATGATTTGTCGGATTTCCTTAAATTAAATGGGGCATTCAAACCAAATCTGACCAATTGCATATCATAATTTCCCCCTATATCTAATACGTGGTGAAGAAGTAAAACATTTTCCATCTGTGTATTCTTTATTTGCAGTCCATGTTTCTATATCACCACCTTATGGGAGCTCGGTGAAGGTACATATATTATTTATGAAACTTCGTTAATAATTTAATACCTATGGCGCATGTTAGGGGATCAATTTACAATTTGGTACAGTGACTGCATTTTTATTGAAGATCAATTCTCGACATTAAGGGGAGATTAGTGCCCAAAATATAAAATAATGTCAAGAAATTTCATAAAATGAAAAGAATCTTCAATATTTATATCTACATACTAGTCAAACCGAACCAGAAGTTCACATGATAATCTGCTAAGAAAAGAGTGACTAAGCCTCATATTCATGTTGAGTATATTATTGATGATTTGGTATGCCAGAAGCGTACTGCACCAGAAACATAGGAAACTTGTTAGTGAAAAAGATAAAAGACCGTGGCACACCAAATCTAATATAGAAAGACAGTCACTCCCATAATGTCCGGAAGAGACTTGTCCTAAAGATGAAATCTCCAGTAAATTGCACGTGCACTTAATAATCATAATATTGGAGATGCGGAACGGCCAAATCCAAATTTTAAGGGAAATGACGAGGATTTGGTTGACATAAAATAAGAATTGAAGTGGCCACGAATTTGTGAAAAAGGAGAAATATATAATAGAAATATAAAAGTTGTCGACAACATAGTTGCCTTTACAATTACTCTTACTATCTCCGAAAATAATCTGGATCCAGAACCTAAGTCGGTAGCAGAGTACTCGAAGCACTCAGACTAGGTGAGATAGAAAGTGACAATTGAGGTTGAGCTGAACTCGCTAAAGTATTTTGAATCCGTAGTCTATATATCCCTACAGGATATAAATGGGTCTTCATAAGAAAAATAAATAAGAATTGTAAGGTAGTGAGATATAAAGCGAGATTCATAGCTCAATGGGTTCACGCAGAGACCCAACATCGATTTAGATGTAAAATATTCTCCTATTAGTGATTGTATTACGTTCCGTAAGTTAATACCTATGGCAGAAACTATGAATTTATATATGCAGTATATGTACGTCATGACCATATTTTTATATGTGTCATTAGACGCTAATATTTTTATACGAAAGTCCCTGATGGACTTGAAATTCCTGAATTGAGAGAAAACAAGAATCGCAACATGTATAGTATTAAATTGCAAAGGTCGTTATACGACTTGAAACAGTCGGGTAGAATGTGGTATAACCGGCTGAGTGAGTTCCTCCTGAAGAGGAGATATGCAAATAATAATGTTTACCCTTGTGTGTTTATAAAGAAATTCAAAAATGGCTTCTGTATTATCTTAGTCTATATTGATGATATAAATGTTATTGGAACGCATAAGGAGCTTACAGAAGCTAGCTTATGCCTAAAGACAGAGTTTGAAATGAAAAAAAAACTTGGGAAAAACTAAGTATTGTCTCGACCTGCAGATCGAGCATGTTCCTAAAAAAATATTGGTATACCAGTCAACCTACCTGAAGAAGGTCATTGAGAGATTTTAAATGAATAAATCTCATGAACTTAGCACACCAATAGTTGTTAAATCCCTTGAAGTGGATAAAGACCCATACAAACCTAAAGAAGATAACGAGGATATTTTAGGACCCGAAGTCTCGTATTTGAACTCGTTATTGAAGCACTTATTTATCTTACAAATTGCACCATGCCTGATATTACATTTGTGTTACACTTGCTAGCAAGAATTAGTGCATCTCCTGAAAGGAGATATTGAAATAATATTAAATATATCCTCCGGTATCTTCAAGAGATCTTTGTTTATTCTATAAAAGAAATCGAAATATGACATTAGTGGTCTATCCTGATGTTGGTTATGTGACTGATCCTCCATATTGCCAAATCTCTGACTGGTTATATTTTTCTCTGCAGTGGTACTATTATTTCTTGGAAGTCTATTAAGCAGACAATGTTTACTAGTTGAAACCACTCAGAGATTGTTCCTCTATATGTGCCCCATGCGAACGTGTAAGGTTCAAATTGATGATAAAACACATTCGATGATCGTGTGGCATATTAA